CACGGCGACGGCTTGCGCATCCGACTGGGGGCGCAGGTGAGACTTGTGGGGTTCGGCCCGGTTTAGGGTCTTCCTGCTGCGCGCGCCGCTCCCGGTGCCCCCAGGCCTCTGAGCCAGAGACCTCCCGGGCGGCCGAGCTCCCTTCCGCCACGCCTCCTGCGCTGTTTATTTCCCCCAGGCCCGAGGCGCCACCCACCCAAGTACCGAGCGCCGCCGAGCCTTCTTGCCGGATCGCCATCTGTAAGTGCTGTCTCCAAGGCGCTCAGGGCCTCTGTGCCCTCACCGCCCAAGCTGGGCAGCTGTTGAGCCAGGGACCCAAGAGCCCGGCGCAAGGCACCTCGGTGGCATCTGGGGACTCCGCGTTCTACGTCAATCAGCAGCCAACAGGTTCCTCTGGCCTGGCCTTGAACAAGTCGGGCAGCTACCTCCCACCCAGAAGCCCAGCTCAGGGGGCCGTTGTTTGTGTGGGTCTGGAGTCAGCCCTCTCAGCTAGTTAGTTGCAGGGGTGTCTGGGTGGCATGGTGGCTGCTGCTACTCCAGCCATCATATCAAGGCCCGAAGGTGGCTCCACACCCCCTGCTGCACCCAGCACTTTCCCCACGGCTGGTGACATGGGAAAGAGGGACCAGGGGCATGAAGCTTTTCTCAGCTGTCATGGCTGCCTGAAACAAGGTTGAGATTCTGCCCTCCAGAAGCCAGGTCAGTTGGCCAGCAGCTCCTCTTGCAGACACCATCCTGCAGTGACCTTGGCCTCCCCAGCAGGGGCTCCCAGACACAGGAGTATGTGGGGCATCGTCCCGTGTCCTGGCATCTGGGCTGGCGTCCTGTAGATCTGGGCTGGCTGTGCCCAGGCAGCTCTTTGTGGGATCCCCAGCCCTGCTCAGCCGCCAGGTGGGGGGACCCTGCCACTGTCTACCGGGACCCCACAGCCGGGTGAACAGGCTGTAACTGAGGTCAGGGGTGAACAGGATGCAGAGTGCCTGCTGCAACTGCCTTCCTGCTGGGTGACCCTATCTCCTCTGGGGGTGCCCTGTGGCTTGCTAGGCTGCAGTGCTGCAGCTGCCCCATCAGAGCCCTGCAGGGTCCCACCACCTGCCCCTCTGCGCGATGTCCTGGAGCCCCTAGACCTCTGTCAGTGGTAGCAGGCAGGGGAGGGGCTAAGAACACAGCTGTGGCACTGCCAGGGCCAGCCAGGCTACTTCCAGGCCAGCCAGGCTGTACCAGCCGCCACCCCTGTTCATCCCTGTCCTTGCCAGCGGCTCCCGAGGACAGCATGGGGCTTTATCTGCAAAGCCAGGGAGGAGGGCAGTTATCAGCTGGGCCCAGGGTCCTGACACTGGGGTGAGGGTGGAAATAGTGGGTGCAGGCCTCCAGATAAATGCGGCATGCGGCAGGCCCAAGGTGTGGTGCTGGGTGGAAAAGTGGCCCTTTGCACTGCTGGGTCAGGCTGGCCTCTGGGGGCTGGAATTCCTGCTGTGGTCAAGTTACTGTGTAACAGTCTAGTGAGTCAAGTAAGCCAGCCCCGCTGAGTGTCCCTCCCCGGCCTACAGGCTGACCCTCCCTAGCAGCCTGCCTCAGCTTCCCTTCCCCTGGCCGGCAGCATGGAGCCCCAGGAGGGCCGCGTTCACTATAGCAGGTGGGAAGACAGCAGCCAGGACGAAGTCAGTATGGCCACCGTGTCAAGCACAGAGACCTCATGCTGCAAAAAGTGAGTGGGAGGAAAAGTCCACCCAACTCCTGGGTGTCCCGATAGACACCAGCTGTGCCTGCCTACAGCCCAGCTTGTGCCAGCCAGCAGGTGTCCAGGGCCTGGGCCCTCAGCCTTCCTGTGAGCCACTCTCTGGGGGATGGGTGTCCTCTAACTCCAAGGAGCATCCAGGCCTGCTCCACCCAGGCCCTCCTGACCCTGCTGGCCATCTCCTGGGGCCCATTTGCCCTGGCCCCCACCCCTCTGTCCACGTAGGAGGGCTCAGGCTCACTGCCAGATGATTCTCATTCTAGGGTCTCCAGGAAGCTGTGCACGGGCAAGCTGGGCATCGCCATGAAGGTGCTGGGTGGTGTGGCCCTCTTCTGGGTCATCTTCATCCTGGGCTATGTCACTGGCTACTATGTGCACAAGTGCAAATAAAGGCTGTCCCGTTGAGAGACATGGGGCTGAGAGAGACCCTGGGATGTGCAGCCCCTCCCCTGACCCCAAGGCAGCCCCAGCACAAGGGGGCAGTGGTGGTGCCGGGCACAGGAAGATGCCAGTGTGCAGCTGCTACAGTACCACCAAGAGTGTGCGGGCACAAAGGGACAGAGGCTCGTGCCAGGATCCAGTACACAGGGACCTCACGGGACAAGACACACCCTGCATGGTGTCCACACCGCTGGAGGCCCAGGCCCATCTGGGCAGCAGCTGCAGGACATCCCAGCTTGGCCCTGCGACCACAGCTCTTCTGCCTGGGTCCCAAGCCCTGGCCACACCAGGCACTGTCCTCCCAGCCAAGTGCCCAGACCACAGGCAGCCCCCTTCCCTCCAGGCTTTCCTGACTCAGAGCCTCGGAGGACACCCCTTACATGGGTAGCCCTTGCCCAGCCTTTGCAAGGGGACCAAGACCCTGCCACACCACATGCCTTCCTAGGCCCCCAACTGCCCCATGAGGACCAAATGCCAGTGCACAATAAAGGTGCGGGAAGACTGGATGGTGACCTCCACCTGCTGCCCTGGCTGTATGGCCAGGTGTGACCGGTGCCACCTGTGAAGGCCTCCTATCTGAGCACAGAATGCCCAGCCTGGCTCCGGGCTGTGGAATGTGCCCCTCCTGCTTGGGCCCTCTTGCAAGGATGCAGAGGCCTGGGACACCGTGAGCTGCTTCCTCCTCACCTGACCCCATGGACGGGCTCAGCAGACCTGAGGCCACTGCAGCTGCCTTAGGGACTTTGGACCTGGCTTCCAACCTGGCCTTCATCTACTGCAAAGCCATCTCAGCCCTGCTGGCCCTTGGCAGCAACACCCGGTCAGGAGCTGTTCTCCCTGAGGACACTGCTGACCCTGGGTGTAGGGAAGTAAACAGGAAGGGCCTGGCCAGGATGTTTCCCCCTCCCCAGGGCCTGCTTAGGGTCCTGGAGCAGTGCAGGAGAGGCCATCCATCTGACCCTGCTGCAGGGCCTGCTGTGGGCTGGGCAGCATTCTAGCTGCCCGAGTTGCTGCAGGGCCCTTGTAGAGAGGTGCGGATACCCCCAACACACCATCGGGAGCTGCAGGCTGGGCACCACTGGGGGGTCCAGTCTCGGCTTTCTGTTCCAGAGGCCCCAGGCATCCCTCAGGGCGGGCCGTGTGCAGGCACAGACCAGATGAGGCTGGGGCAGGGGGAGCAAGACAAGAGGGGAAGTGACCCAGGAGCTTCTGGCTGGCCCAGTACTCTGGGCTGATGCTGGGGTCTCATCTGGCCAGCCATGCCCCAGGCCCACCCAGAAGCCTGAGAGGCACCCAGCAGGCTGGGGACCCACTGCCTGCAAACCAAAGCCCAGCCCCCCAAGGGCAACCCTGGGCTAGGTGGCTATGGGACTGGGCAGGTTGGGGACAGTGTGGATGGAGTCCTGCAGCAGCCACTGGGATCCCCTCAGCCTGCCCAGCCAGCTTGAGGTACAGGGCTGAGCAAGTCCCTGGTGGGGGCTGGATCTGGGTGGGGAGAGTGGAGGCAGCCCCAGGTCCTGTTTCCCCATGCATGGACAGCACCACAGCCACTGGGAAAGGATCGCAGGCAGGGGCTGTTTCTTATCAAATGTTTCTTTATTAGAGAGGATGGGCAAAGGAAAAGAAAGAATACGAGGCTTCTTTAAGTTAAAATGTCCCCAAATCTCACACATACTAAGAGCACAGCAGGAGCCAGCACAGGACAGTGCTGTGCAGCATCCCCGAGCCCAGACCTGGAGAGCAGGGAGGAGTCCTCTGCAGTGAGCCATAGTGACAGGCAGGGCTACAGCAGATGTCCGACCAGCTGATGAGAACCCCCGAGAAGGGTAAGTCGCCTGCACCTGCTGGGCCACCAGGAGGGCTGGGCCTCATCTCCTGGCCCCCAGTGGGAGTGGCAGGGCGCCTGGTGGGGCCCAGACCCAGGCTGGGGTGGCAGGAAGCTCTGGAAAGCCCAGCCAGCCAAAGGAGTGCCAGCCTCTCGGGCTGTGACAAAGCCTGTGGGTCAGCGGGGCTTTGCAGATGCTCCAGAGTTGTCCACCTTGTATGGAAACACAACTGTCCTTTTAGGCTGAAGACCCCCTGAACAGAAGACCGTGTCGCTGAATTAAAAAGCCGGCTACTCTGTTTCCTCCCAGAGCCAGATGTAAGGCGGTGAGGCTGCTGAGGCCCTGTAGCAGCTGCCAGGGCTTGGGGACCAGGCTCTTTGGCTCCAGGAGGGTGTGCATGTACCTGGCACACACACGAACACATGCAGACACAGTTCACACCTACAACACGAGGTGGGAGGACCAGTCACTGGCACATGTTCTTTGTAATTTTTGGTTCAGAGATCGAACACAACCCAGCCACTCCTGCTGCTCCTTCCCTGATGACCACTGACAGGTGACCACTGCGTGATCGGTGTCTGCCTGTGGTACCAGCCCGGGGTCCTGCTGCGTCCCACACTGCCTTCTGATCCAGCGCTCCAGCAGCAAACTGCTGAAACCTGACCTGACCAAATTGAAGTCATTTTTTTTTCCAATAAAGAGATGAAGCTCTCTGCAGGCTGGGAAACAAGATGTTCTGCAGTGTTGCCACGAGACCACAGCACAGGAAGGGCCACAGTTCAGTCAGTGTGTCAGGGTCAGGCAAAGGCCTGTGCTGAGTGAGCCAGCGGGCCCTTGCCTTTTTGGATGCGGCTGTCTGCTGTGTGCCCACGAGACAGAGAACATCTGCAGCAGCCTTTTCTGGTATTTGAAGCAGTCCGTGAAAGAGAAGTATCAACATTTGTAACGACATGTGACAGGATCACCCGGGAAACGGAAAAAAGAACACATGTACCTCACAGACACCTCGGAGCAACCCACACCACCACACACAAGCCCTGCAGGGCCTTGATGGCCAGACAAGTCAGCGAGCCACGGTCACATGTGGGGGGACAGTGGCCAGGTCGGCCTTGGATGGGTACACAACCCTCAGGCCGCCCTCCAGGTCCACCACACGGACCTGCTCCACCACCAGGGGGCACTGTCCATCCTTCCCAGCACTGGGGACCCCTTGGGAATCCGGGAGTGGTCCAGAAATAGCGTTGGCCTCTGTGTCGGAGAGTGATCCTTCCTCTTTATTTTCTAGAGTGTGCTTGTTCATTTCTGCCATTTTCTGCAAATAAAAAATACTTTTTAAACTGTGAGATGAGCAGTGACCAGAAGAGACACTGCCGGGCCCTTGGGCAGGAAGCCAGGGCAGTGCCCTCTGGGGAAGGACGGGTCCAGGAGCCCGGTGCTCACCAGGAGGAGGGTGTCCATGATGTCTTTACAGATCTGCAGGCTCATGGCGCTGGTGACTTCCACAAACAAATCACACGTGCTCTTCTTAATCTTAAAAAAAAGTGAGATACTTCAGAGCAGAATAAAGTTGTCAAAAGTAAACCTCAGTGACTGCAACGTGGACCCTGAAAAACATCTACATAAAATGGAGTCCCCCAGATGGACACTAGCTGCTTCTGATGAGCGGCACGAGCCTGTGGTGGCACCCACAGTGCCGTGTGCAGTGACAGCTCTGGAGCGTCTAGAGGGGACTTTGCCCTCGCAGACCCTGCCCACCTTTGTCTTCTCGCTGTTCGTTATTGGGGGGAAGGAAATCACATCTCCGGCTGTGTCCACGAGACAAGGGTAATTCTCCTTGCCATCCAGCAGGTGCAGGTACCTGTGTGGGAGGAAGCGCGGATGGTGGGCAGCTGCTAACTTGGGGCCCAGCAGCTGCCTGCACAGCCAGAGTTCTTCAGATGCATGGGGTTAACATGGAAGCCACATCCAGTTGGTCACAGAAGGCCCGGCACACACAGGCCTCCATGCACTGGCACCCTGACAAGTGCACCAGGCTGGCCCCTTGGGACAGCCCCAGTCAGGCTCAGGCCCTGTGCCAACAGGCAGGTCTAGCGTTTCCTTCTGGGGGAGCCCAGGGAAGGGAAGCTGCCACACCCTGATAGCTCCGGCCCCCGGGGTGCAGGACACACCTGTGCAGCCCTGAGACACTCTGCCTCTTCTTCTGCTTTCTCTGCTCCTCGGCCTCCAGCTGCAGCTGCCGCACCAGCTCATTGGCCTTGGCCTCCTTCCGCCCCAAAGGCATGATCTACGGGCAGAAACCCAGCAACCACAAGATCTGCATCATAAGCCAAGCCCCTGTCTCCAAGCATTAGGGCCTCCCGCCTGCCTGCTGACCTGTGTCTCTAGGGAGCCAGTGGCAAGTGGGGCAGGGCAGAAAGCAGGGTGGGTGGGGATGGAGCCTGTGTGCAGCGTCCTGTGTGCTCACATGTGACAAGTGGCACACTGGCTATGTCTTCAGGGACCGAATGCCAGCCCCGGAATGCTGAAGCTGAGCTTCCCCTCAAGCCCAGCCACAGCACCAGTGTGCCTGAAGTTGCCGGCTAGCAGAAGGCCAGCAGATAGACAGGGCTGAGCTGGCCGGGTCCAGCTTCTGTCTGCCCAAGGACAGAAACCAGCTGCCAGCAGCAATGCCAGAATCCACTCCACACTGAGACCTGAGCAAAGCACTTGGAGGTGGTGCCAACTGTTGGGATGCGTGCCTCACAGAGAAACACTACAGAAAACCCAAGGCACGACAGAGCAGGCAGCGCAGCAGCACCTTGAGGTCTTGGGGTGGCCGGGCTGTGTACAGCAGGGGCCCTTGCACGGCACGGAGGTCATGGGTGGCGATGGTGGCAGCCGTCCTCTTCTCACAGAGCTCATCGTGGAGCTTGGTCTGCAATGAGCGCAGCAGGAGTGGGTGTCAGCCAAGCCCTCCTGCCTCCTGAGTATTCAGCAAAACTATCTGATCTGCTCAATGGTGGCATTTCCGCTTCCTGTAATTCTAGAAGATACCATTTGAAATCTGAAGACCCCGCCCTGACGTAAAATTCAAGAAAGAGGGCTGGGGATTTAGCTTAGTGGTTTCGCTGACTGCCTCATAAGCACAAGGTCCTGAGTTCGATCCCTGGTACCAAAAAAAGGAAAGAAAACAGTATGCCTTAAATGAAAAACGCTGCCCATGGACAAAGATGTGCTCTGTGCAGTACAAGTGGTGAAGGCATCCCTGAAAACCGCAGCCCGAAGTCAGGTGGACCTGAGTTTGAGCAGTTCACCACCTGCTGTAACTAAAGGTGCAAGTTCTGCAGAAACCGGAAAACCCACCAAACAGCAGGACACTCGAGGGACACCTGTTTTCAGTGGCACTACGGTGTCTGAGTCAACTGCCTGTGGAACTGCAAGGGGCCCTATCCCTTGCACCGGGGCCTCTGTGCTCCTGCTGTCAACGGGTGGAAACTGAGGCACGAGGGCGGCCCCAAACTACACCTCTTCTCCCTGACTGCCGGCCAAAAACTTGTCCCCAGCACCCGGCACCCCAGGACTGCGCCCCAGGCCCCACCTGGGAGGTGAGGAAGCGCTTGAGTGCGTTCCCCGGCTGCAGGTCCATGCCTCGCACGACAGCCCCCACGATGTAGGGCCGCACGTCCCTGACCTCGGGGCTCACTCTGATCGTCAGGGGTGCAGGGTTTTCAGAGACGTGCAGGACCCTGAGCAGCAGCTTGGCAGCGTCCGCCACCACCTCTTCTCCCTCGCCGCTCTCCCGCCTCTGCTTCCGCTCCCTCTTCTTCTTCCGGGCATCTTCCTTCTCCGAGCCGTCAGCCCGGCCCCGGCCCCGAGAGCCCCGGCAGCCCCGGCCCCTGGCACGCAGGTACTCCAAGATGGACCGGGTCTGGCAGCCACTGACCATCTTTTCCAGGCGCTTGTCCTGCAGCTTGTTGCCCCGGAAGTTGATCTCCTTGAGCTTGGGGCAGTCTGCCAGTTCAGCTGGGATCTCGCTCAGCTGGTTGTTGGAGAGGTCCAGGGTCTGGGAAGAGACGGTGAGGGAGGTCAGGGGACCTGAGGAGACTCCAGGCCCTACCAGGGCAGGCAGGGAACTCAGCGCCTGCCGACAGGCTCCAGACAGCTGCAGCTATGGCGTGAAGCCTACCCTCCAGCTGAGGAACCCCTGGACTAGGACCGAAACAACCCTTCCACGGGACATTGCCCAGCCAGGGGCTTCTCTAGGGGGCAGCAACCTCTGTATCCCTTCTTCTGACTTGCCGGTGGGAGGGAAGAAGAGGCCTGGTTACTGAACGTGTACCTGCTTTCCAGTAAACCACTATTTCTGCCCCTGAGAAAGGGATTCCCCAGACAGGATTTAAAGCTTAAATTAGAAAAAGTCTAAGAGCACAGTAAAGCCTCCCAGCAGCTCCGTTCTTCCTCCTCCTGAAGTGCAGTCACCAGCAACACCACGGGTGTTCCCCGTGGGGCGGGAGCTGTGGAAACAGCTGATGGCGCTGGCTCTCAGCGCTCTATGGGCCTCAGAGAAGGCACTGGTATTGCTGTGTCTGCGCCATGGCCCAGAGAAGGAGGCTTCCAGTGCTCTCACTGCTGGGGTCACTGAACCCGACACCCTCTTCTGGAGCAGGGCGGGCTGCAGGGCCTACCCAAGGGTCCCCACGATCTCAGGTACAGCCTTGGAAGCCCGGAGTAAGGGCTCCTCCCTCCCACCCCTCCAGGGCCCTCGGGAGGTTCTGCTCCGGATGCTGTGACCTGACCCGGGGCAGCTGCCATGGTGTGAACTGGGCCTCCGCACTAGGGGATAAGTCCCATGATGTGGTGTGGAATGGGGGTCCCCTTCACATCAGAGGGTAGGGGCTCTGCTAGTCTGACTGGCGGAGGACAAGTTCAGTGGTGCTTCTCAAAGCCCGAGGAACAAAAAAGGAATTGACTGGAACTCCTGGCTCAAGCCATCAGGCTGGGGACACAGAGCAGGGCGGTGACGCGGTTCTCACACACAACTTCAGAGAGAGCAGAGACTCAGGAGGCAGAGGACAGCTGTGAGAGCCCAGCAGGAGAGAGCTCAGGACCCAAGGGGGCCCCTGGGGACTGGGATGCTGCCCAGCAGCTGTGTCACCACAGGCAGGGGAGGCCTTGTCCAAACGCTTGGGATCAGAGTGTCTCCATCTTGCAGTTTCAGATTTTGGAACACATGCACACACAGTTCACTTGGTGGGTGGGGTGGGTGTGGAACCAAGTCTACTGTGGCAGTGACTTCAGTCTCCAGCACACCTAGCAGTGCAGAGGTGCTGAGTTCACACACTATCTGCAGGCGTCGGTATGGACTGTGACCCAGCGCGTGAGGCCAGGTGTGGAACTTTCTCCTTGTGACATTACATCAGCATTAAAAACAAGGTTCAGATTCTGGAGTTTGGGTTAGGGTGCTCAACCTGTGTTCTGTGCCTCTCCACACCCTACCCACTCTTGGGCGAGAGGGGTGGGGGTGGCCCCACTGCTGGGTAGCCATCCCTGGAACCCGGCCTGGCTCCCCAGAATCTCTTCCAGTACCTCAGGCAGGCACACTGCTCCTGAGCCCAGCTATCCAGAGCTCAGCCTCCCTCCTAACTGCTGCTGAGAACTTGTAAATGCAGTGCTGCCGCTCCCATGGGTGGAAAGCAGGTTACTCACGGCCTGAAAGCAGCAGGCCGAAAGCCAGGGCCACAGGGGATGGTGAGCTGGTTCAGCAAGCGCCTGCTGAGAGGGGATCCCCACAGAGGACAGTCACCCCAGGACAAGAGCATGTCACAGCAGGAAGCAGCAGACTGACTGGCAGCTCAGGGTCTGCCTGGAGCCCCTGTGGAAACAGGGAGAGCAGCCAAAGAAGTCGATCAGGGTGTTGGGGTGCAAAGCCCCTGATCCGGAGTCCTTCTTGGAAGTGTGGCAGCCCTGCTGATGGGGTACAGCTGTTTCCTTCCCCACAATGCCACAAAATCCAGCCTGGCGACCAGCCACGGTTTCATGCAGAAAGGGTGAGCACCGACAGGAAGCAAGGAGCCTTTGGGCCCTCCTAGAGGGAGGGCAGTGTGAGGGGTCTGTGGCTGAGCAGGGGCACTGGCCCCCACATCCTGGAGCTCAGGGATGCTGTGTGCACTGTGCTTGGGGCCCCCATGCCTGGGGATGAACAGCAGCACCGGCGCCTGGCCCGTGGGCAGTGGCTTCTGACTGGCCCTGGATGTCCAGGATGTGCAAGGGACATGCTGCTAGGGAATGGATCCCACCTGTGTGGTCATGAGGGGCGGACACAAAAGAGCCCCAAGAGAGGTGCAGAAGGGACTGCCCCAGGCAATGGGGCTGACACCCTCCACAGCAACATCAGAGAACTGGTGAAGGGCTTATTGACTTCAGTTTCTCTCGTTGGGAGACAGGAGATTTCATAGAAGTTGAATCTCGTTATATACATGTCCCAACTCTTCACAATGAATGTTATGATTATGTGCTACAAACGTGTACTAATAAAAGTTAAAAACTAAAAAGAAAAAAAAAAAAAAAAAAAAA